AGAAAGATCACATTTTATAAAACCTTTAGTTAAGATTCTTCTTGGCTTCATTTAATGCTCTACTTTCCTGCCTGAAGGCTTCCCGTGCAGAGTGGCTTGCTCAGTGCCATTGAAAGTGACTGTTCCTCTTCTGTGCCTGCTCAGAGTTGTGAGGTGCAGAGTGCCGTCCACTTGTCCCCCGTGCTTACCTGTGTCTGGTTTGGAGGAAAGGTCACACTCGGAAGGAGGGGCTTGACCTCCAGCTTGAAAGTGAAGGCCACAGCAGATCTGGGGTCTGGCTTAGGCTCCTGGTGTCTGGGGACCCTGGCCTCCTCAGGTCTCCTTGGCGCTCCTGCTCCTCAGTTTGGAGGTCCAGGTCTCCAGCAAAGCCACATGCGGTGGTCAGTGAGAACGGCTCAGCCGGGCCGTCTCTGCGCCTTAAGCAGGGGTCTGTGGTGTGGCCTGTGCTGTGTTTTCTTCTCGGCAGGTGCTGGCTGAGGTCCCAGCCCAGAGGGCATCCGTGGTCTGAGGTAGCCTCTGCTTTGGTGTCCCCGGGCCTGTGTCAGTGACGGGAGAAGGATTGCATGTAGGTAGAGTCTCCCTTTCACAGACACTGCTCTGTGTGTTTGGCAGGAACGACTCTTAGAACTCCAGGTTCCTGATTATTTTGTTGGGGTCCAGTGTCCAGATTCTTTCCGGTTGTAAAATATATTTTACTCTTCAGCCTTCTAATTTAATAAATGATCCCTATAAAAATAAATAAAGTCCTCTAAGGGAAAGTTTACCATTTTTTGCTCCTGAGTATTTTTCAACTTGGCTCACAGTATGCAGGAGAAACGAATCCATCAGAATTCATAAATTACTCATTAGTAAATGAGTTGCAGGATTGTGTAAATAAAAACTCTCAAGGTGGAAGGGACAGATAAAATCTAACAGGTAGATTCAGAACATCAGCCTTAAACACTTATACCAAGCACAAGTTTTCATTCTCCCTTCAGAATTCTGGAAGGAAGACCCCGGTGCCCCACCCGTGGGCGGTGGCAGGTGTGGGTTTCAGCTGTGGTGCTGTGGCCCCTCCATCACCATGTGTTATCTCTTCCTGGCTTTGTGGTATGTTTGTCGCTTTTCTTTTCCAGCCCATTGTGACCTGGGAGTGAGCAGAGAACATGGGCCCAAAGTGTTTCTCTTCCTAAGAGGGCCTGTTGGGAGCTCAGGGGCTGTGGAACCCCAAACAATTGGCTCAGGCTTAGGAAATGAGATTTCGTGTCAAAAGCAAGATGTCCTCCAACGTTAGAGGCACGTGGGTGTGGCTGTGTGCTTGTGCCCCTCCTGGGTGCGGACGTGCTTCTGCAAAGCCCGCTACACCCCAGGGACCTTCCAGCCATCACTTCTGTGACACTGGGAATATTTTTTGCCCAAGACAGCTGACAGAAGACTAGCACGTGCTAGTGCTGGACGTGATAAAAAGAAACAAGGGACACCTCTTCTAAAATGTCTTCTGTGACAAAATGCTGAAAATGCTAGGAAAGACCACAAACACTCTTTCTTTGAATGCAAGGCTGAGCTCAGCAGTACGGCAGCCTGAGACCCTCAGGACAAAAACTACCAGAAGTACCCATTGAACAGTGTTTTAAAAACATCAGGTAAAATACAGTGCAGACAAGAGATGGCTGACAGTCCCCACTCAGAAATGGAAAAGAGCCACACAGAATTTTGGAAAAGAAAAAATGTAATCATCGGAATTAACATTTTAACAGACAAGTTTATCAGCAGGTTGGACATGGCTGAAGAAACAGCTGGAAAAAGGAGCTGCAGAAAGAAACTCACCAGAACGCAGCTCAGAGAGCAGAGGCCAGGAAATGCAGGAGAGAAAGGACTGGTGGCTAATCGGAGCTTCAGAGAGACGTAATGAGGGCATGTGGCGCTTGACAGGGCAGTGGCTGAGAGTATCTTAGAACCGACAAGATGCTTGAATCCTCAGACATGAAAATCTTCATTAGCTTATAAAACAGCACTGTTCAATGTGGGCTGGAATAATTTCAA